CCTTCCACCATGAGATCAGCAAAATATTTTTTATTTGTCCGTTTATGTATTACTTTGTTATTTTGAGGCATTTGCAGCCTAGACTAACCTCAGACTTGCAATGATCCTATTGTTTTAATCTCCTGAGTGCAAAGATTACAGACCTGAGCTAGCATATCTGGCTCATGGACCATGCTGCTACTCAGATGTGTTCAGATCTGTTTACTACAACTTCTTGAAGGCAGGTGTGGTGGTGGACACTTATAACCCCAGTGCTCAGGTAGCTGAGAGAGGAGGATTATAAGTTTGAGGCTAGCCTAGACAACATAGTAAGAATTTGTTTCAAATAAACAAACAAACAAAGAAATCATGATAACACCACCAGACAACATCTTTCATGAGAATGATTTTTATGTGTCCATTTAGCTGGGCGGTGGAGTACTCAGATATTTAGTTAAATTATTCTGTGTGGTTCTGTTAGTGTGCTTCTGGATGTGACTAACATTTGAATAAGTAGACTAAATAAAACAAATTGTCTTTCCTACTATGGGCAGCCTTGTTCAATATGTTGAGACTCTCAAAAGAACAAAAGGGCTGAATGAGAAAGAATTCACTCTCTTAAGTTGTCTTTGAGACTGAAAGTCAAACAGACTGGCTCTATCAGCTTTCCTGTCTCCAACCTATGTGTGTGGATATTGGGATTTTCTAACCTCAAAGATCATGTGAGTCAATTGCTTATGATAAATTTGTTGGTAGATATATATTTCCTATTTATTCTGTTGCTCTGGAGCACTCTAATGCAGGTTTGATTTAACTTCTTATAGATCTGTAATTTGAACTGATAAATGATCCAAAAGAAGGGTTTAGACTTATTTATTCTAAATAAAATAAATTTCAAGGATATGATTGGAATAATTCATTTTGCTCCAATTGATGTTTCTACCTATTTATGTTTACCCATTAAAGTTAATAAGATTTGATGTGGGACTATTTTTCTTGTTAACTGATACCAGCAATTTTACAAAACCACTTGTTTTCTTCATTTTAATCTTATGGTAACATTTCAATTCAGATCAGATATCTCTTATATTATGTATTGTTTCATGGTTGCTCTTTTCTGTCTCATCACTAAATTTATTTTATCAGATGAACTTTAGAATCATGTTTTCATATTACAAAAATTTGTGAATTTAGGTAATAATTGGAATTTTGTTAAATCTGCCAAATATTTTATGGTGAAATGAAAAACTTACAATGTGGAGTCAAACTCAAAGAAATTTACATGTCAGGTCTTTTATATCATCTTAGGATTTTTCATTTTTCATATTTTGTTTGTTAAATAATGGTGTTAAATAAACCTTGCTTTACTACTAATTTTGTTGATTATTTTTATATTTTAAGAAGTCAAATTTATTAGCTGTTTTATTATCTGGGACATGCTTTATCATGGATGGTACCTTCGATTTATAGGAAAAATGATTTTGTGTAGTACTTTTCCATCATCAACATAATTTGTTTGAAGTTACAGTCTAATTATGCTTTGTGCTTAACCTGATAAAACTTTGCAGTTCTTTGAGACATCACTTTGATTTAAAACCTCTTTACTTATTCCGTGATAGATTTTATTTTTAAGCACTTCCTGAAGACATTTGTCTCTTATTAAGAAAGTTTAGACAGAGCATTGTCACAGTGATGCAGTGGAAGCTTGTCATTTTACTTTGTCCCTGCCTTCCACTACTTTATGAACATTCTCTTTCATGAAAGGATTCTTTTGTATGCTTTTTTTTCTTTATAAACATCATTCATCTAAATCTAACTGAAATATTCAAGAATAAAATGGTATGTTTTGTTAACTCCCAGAATTATTTTAGAAATTTCTGTTTTTTTAAAAAAATTTGTCAATATGCTATGTGCTTTTATCCTTGAATTAGTCATGGAAACAGTTTCCATGATGAATTTGTTATTTAAAAACTTCATCTACAGGCTGGAGAGATGGCTCAGCCGTTAAGAACACTGATTGTTCTTGTAGAAGACGCTGGTTCGAATCCTAGCACCCACCTGGCAGCTGACAATTGTCCGTAACTCCAGTTCCAGGGGATCCAACAGCATCTTCTGTCTTCCATGACCATTGCACAATGCAGGTGCACTTACCTACATGCAGGCATAACACTCATACACATAAAATAAAAATAATAAAATATTTTTTCTAAAACATGTACTTTGAAAATATTTTAATAATTATTAATACTTAGCTATAGCTTAACTGGTTTTAATACTAACCATCTACTTTTTAAAATTTTAATTAAGAATATAGCACCTGTTCATATTGTACAAAATATATTTTCTACCCCTAAAAGAAGCTTAGACTCATCCATGAAAATTTATTTTCTTATAATCTAAATAATCTAAGGCTTATTATCTTGATTTTCAGAATATGGTTTGTTTACCATCTCTGTTACCAGTGATCAGGGTCTGGGCTGAGTGTTTCCAGGTTCTCAGCCTCTTATTTAAGAAGAAAATAAAAGTCCAACTGGACTGAAAAATAGCAAAAATATTTATTTAAAGCAAAGTGATAGAGCAGGTCAGATACACTATGAAGACTGACAGCAGGCCACATAAGCAAAGACACGTAAGTAAATTCTCTGATTGTTGTTTGGAGCTTCCTTTTATCGCGCTCAAGAGGAATTTTATTCCTAAGGGTCAAAATCTTTCATATTTTACTGATCCCTTTCCCTTTCTACTGATACCATATGGACTCATTCATGTCATCAGAATAGGAGCTTGTCAGAGAACACTGCACTTTTTATGTTGGTTAATTTCCTTTATAGGCTAAGAACTCACAGCCCTTGTATCAATGACCTTGTTTGCCTTCTTCCATGTGTCTATGTGTGCATGCCTGCCTGCATGTTCATATGTGTGTGAGCTTACTAGTGGACACATGTCTATGGAGGCCTGAGGTTGACATCTGCAGTCTTCCTAGATCACTACCTCATTCTTTAAGACAGAGTCTCTCAGTTGAACCCGGGGCTAGTCCAGGAAGCCAGTTCTTTGGGAGAGTCCCTCTACCATTAGAGCACTGGAATTATAGGTGGGCCACCAAACCCACCTGGCATGTCATTGTGTGCTGGGATCGTGCACGCACAGCAGTTTCCCCATTGAGCTCTCTCTCCAGCCTACAGCAACTTTCTTTGCTTTCTTCTGAAACGTCAGAGTTCAGAAAATTGGTATGTACCATCTGTTGTTGCTAATCCACATCAAGTTTCAATAGCGATCTCAAAAAGTCAATTTGAAATGAGCAAAAGCTGGAAATAAATTTTTGTGAATTACTGGTTAATTTTTTATTGAAAAATTTTGTTAGGTGATTATTGAAATGTTATAGAAACTGTCCCTTGAGTTATTAAAAAATTAAGTGGTTTAATGAGTAGTGAATATTGTCCTAGCCCCTAATTCATTCATATGTATAATGTTGTGAGCAGTCATAAAACCTCTTCAAACTGATGCCTATTCAAGCTCACAAAACTGAAGGAATGGTATGTTATTGATTTTCCATTGCTACAACACAGTCTTAAACTTCTCAGTCAAGTAACAAGAGACGACTTTCACCAGGAGAGGGCTGGAGAACACTATGGCAATGTTGGAAAGTTCTTTGGCATGATGTTGGACTGACAATAAACGGGAGGCAGATGATCTTTTTGCCTGGTTCTATCTCTCTGTGTACTGCATTTTTGTTTAATTAATTAGTGAATAATTTTTTGAGATAAGATCTCATGTATCCCAGACTGGCCTCAAACTATCTCTATAGCTGAGGATGACCTTGAGTTTTGGACCTTTGTTTCTAACTTCCAAGTGCTGATTTATAGTGTGTTCTATCGCACCATTTTATGTGTCCTGAATTTTTGATTTTTTATTTGCTACACAAAATCATTTGAAGCTGCTGAAGAAGAAGAAGAAGAAGAAGAAGAAGAAGAAGAAGAAGAAGAAGAAGAAGAGGAAGAGGAAGAGGAAGAGGAAGAGGAAGAGGAAGAGGAAGAGGAAGAGGAAGAGAAATAAAGCCCATTTTTTAATGAAAAAATGACTTCTTCATATCAGGGTTTTCATTTGCGATATACCAATCTTCTTCACTCATGTATCAAGTGAAGTAGACACTGGTCAGAGCATGTGTGTGTATATATATCCTTCATGCCACACACTGTGGGGATTTGTATGTACTAAGGTAAATCACTGACAGGTTGCAGATACCCAAGACAAGATGGATTTCTGAGTTGCATAAGCAAGTTCTATATTGAAATGGAAAAAGACTTAATCCATAATATGAGAAGACTTTATCTTTTGGTCTTATAGTACTGTTGGTAATATAAAAGTTAACCAGATTAGCATGTCTCTTCCACTACAGTCCAGTCTGAAGGATACAGGTGAGTCCTGAGAATCATCCCTTCAGTTACTGAGGGGAACACCTTGAATAGCTACAGGTAATTAAAAATTATCATTTGAAGCTGAAGTTAGCATTTTGTTATAGTATGTTGAAAAAAAATCATGCTAAGGATGGAAAAAAAATTGAATATAGAGTTGGAAATGTAAGTGATTAATCAAATAATTAGTCTCTCAGAAAACAGTTTACTCAGAGTGACATAGTTACTTTGTAAACAATCTTAGTCATTGATGCACCATTCAGTTTTGAAAATATAATTACCTACAAAAGGCTAGAGTCCTGGGTTTTCCAAGATTTCTCCAAAATGCCTCAGATATTACTGGTGAGCTAGGCAAAGATTTGGGAGTGTTGATTTACCATTGCTGTCTGTCTCAAATGTGATTGATGAGACATCGTTTCTAGTCAATACCTCAAATGCATTCATGTAATCTTATGTGATATCTATTCAATACCTTAAATGCATTCATATAATCTTATGTGATATAATTAATGAGACAAAATTCCAAAACACATTTGAAACTGCATATTTTTCCATTTCATTTACCACATCAAAGGTTGACAAGAAGGCTCATAGAACAAATCTGGCCCACCATTTGTCTTTATGAATAAAGTTTTATTAGAACACAGCCATGATCATTCATTTACATATCATTTATGGCTGCTTTCATGCCTACAATAGCAATGTTGCATGGTCGTGACAGAGAAAGTACAGCTTACAAAGCAGTCATTATCTGGCTCTTTACAGAAATTTGCCAACCCCATTAGTAACAATCTTATCACTAAAAATATTGGTAACTGCTTTTTTACTAGCACTTCTACAAACATGAAATACATTTCATTCAACTAAATCTTATTTCCAAAGAACCTACTTAAAAATTGCCTTGAAATCCATGTTTGAGAATCTTCAAATTTCTTGCCCAGGAGTTAATCCCCAGTTCAGAAAAACAGATACACATTTAAAAGTGTTCTTTTATTATTTCTAGTTAACATATATTGTATAAATACTCTATTTTTATATGCACTTTTACAAAAGTGATATAACTTAAAGGTTTTAATCATTAGAAATAAATGTATAAAAATAAATATGTTATCATAGGCATTTATTATAAACTATAGTCCTTCTTAGAAGGAACACAGAAACCAATACTTATAAAGTACATATAATTTATAGTAACATATTTTACTATATACATATGGAAAGTTATATTCTCTCTCAGTAGAAGAGCTGAACAGACATTCACCAGGATACGACTGTTGACAAGCTGCCAGGAATGGACCTGCTACCCTGCAGCAGCTTCCCACTGTGAGACAAAATGAACTCGGTCTTCTCAAACCCACCAAACCCATGGACCCTGTTCTCCACACCCCATTCTTGCTCTGCATGACATCCTTTCTGTGTGGTCCTCCTGACTTAAGTGAGACATGGGTGATCTTTTCACACCTAGTCCCCAAATAGGCTTACCTAGGGAGAAAAGTACAGGAGGAGGCTCAGCTCACTGCACCTTCTGCAGTGCTTGTGAGCACCTTTACTTCACTACTTTGTCTTTCTGTGAACTTAATGCACATTTCATAAATAGGTGAATTGTTTCTACCTCAAAATGAATTACACAGTTAAAGACCAAGATGGTACAAGGCACCACGAACCCTTTCACATATGTGTGACTTTCTTTCATGTTGAATTATCTGAACTCTTCATTCTTGGTAGAAATGATGCATAAACATTCTCTGAAACCACTGCACTCATAAACTGCTAAGCAACCATTTAGTTTGTACACCTTTCTCCTCCCATGGCTGGCAAGGTAAAGTAAGCCATGTCTGAAATATCATCTCATCTTTCTTCTGCTTTGCTTTTCCCAACCCCCAGGATACAAAGTGTTTAATCAGTACCAAGAAACAGGGCTTGCAGTCCTTGTCTGACTCTGACAGTTGTTTCAGCAATAGATGTAACGAAAGAAATACTAGTAAGGCCCTGGGGCTTCATCATGCTATATATCATTTCTCAGACGCTAATAATCCTCATTAACTACCTTATCAAATTTTAACTGGCAGGATAGTGTCCTGATCTACCTGCACTGCTCTCTACCTCCCTCCATACTCCCACCTCATTGACACACCTTACTTGTTACTGGTTAGATACAATGGATCCCTCCAGTACTCTAGGTTTTAGTGCATCAGCCCTCCCACACTCCCTTTTCCTCAAAGTGGGCACTCCTTAACTGCACTCTGCTAACACGCAAAAGTCTATGTAATGCTTTGGTTTCTTTAAAGGATCACAGCTCTCATTGGATAACACTCCCCCATCGTGGGACACACACTTCAAGGTTCTCTTCTTGTAACCCTTCCCACAAGTCTTAGAACATGGTGACCAGTCCCCCAGCTGCCAATGTGGGCAAGGCAGGTCTGCACAAGGTCTGGTGCTGGCTGGCTTCACTTCTTTTGCACACTCCGAAGCAGGGTGTCCGTTAATGTCTCTGCAGTCAACTAATCTTCTCTGCCAACCCGAACCACATGACTTAGAACACTCTCCCCACTCTTCAATGACCCACTCTGAAAACGTAGGGATAGCGTTGAAAGACTCCTTCTTCTTCTTCACGAAATAGGTGTATTTGATTTTGGGTAGAACAGCATGGCCCACAGTGAGAACCTGGATGGTTAAGGGTTCTTTGAGTGGACTAAAGCTGCGGATTCTTTCCAGTGCTGCCGAGGAGCCGCTGTACCTTAAGAACGTACCTTTGTAGGTTAGGTCTTGCTCCAGAGTGGACAGAGTGAAGTTCCCGTTCAGAATATAGGTACCATCGGCTGCTTTGATGGCAAGAAAGCTTCCATTGCTTCTGGACCCCTTCTGATTCCTCTGTTTGACTTCAATGTTTGTGGCTCCAGTGGGAATTGTGACGATGTCATGATACCCAGGTCTGTGGCAGAGAAAAAAGGGGTGAATCTTTCTTTCATTGATTAATGAACTGCTTAGCTTAAAAATGCATAACACTTTTGAAAACGATTTTCCTTACTTCTATAAAATTGTCTAAAATTATAAGGTCTCTGAAGTATGAGGTTTTTTTTTTATATTTTGATTAATTAATTAATTTATTTTGGGTTTCTGAGACAAGGTCTCACTTGTGCCTCAGACTGTTTTGGAACTCACTATGTAGTCCAGGTTAGCCTATAACACACCACAATCATCCTCCATCAGCCTCACAAGTTTTGGGATTACATGAAGTATGTGGGTTTTGTTTTTGTTTTAAATTTGTATATTATTATTTTATGTGTAAGAGTGTTCTGCTTGCATATATATAATTGTACCCATGCCATGCAATGCCCACGGAGGCCATCAGAGGTTGTCAGATGCACGGGAACTAGAATTAAGGCCAGTTATTAGCCTGTATGTGGGTGCTGGGAACCAGTGCTTTTAACAGCTAAGCCATCTCTCCAGCCGTTTTTTGAGACGGGGTCTCATGTAGTTCATACTATCCTGAAACGAGGTAGCCAAAGATGACCCTGAACATAAGATTTTCTGGTCTCTCTTGTCTGCAGCTCCTATGTGCTAGGATTACAGGTATGTGCCATCATGTCCAGGCTTATGCACTGCTGGGAACTGAGCCCAGGGCCTTGTGAATGCTAGGTAGGCTCTCTAGTCATAGATTACATCCCCAACCTTGAAGTGTGTTTTTTCAAATGTACCTTGTACTGGTAACTGTTCCTGATATTTTCTTGCACGTAGATCCATTTCCTCCACACACACCACATTTATCGAATTTCATTTTAGAGTCTATGATGCGATCACAACCGGCTTTGACACACTGTCCTTGCACACAGACAGAAGTAGAGTCTGGACTACAGGGGGTGCCATCTACAACCTGAGAAGAGAAGATCGGGTATCTGGTGGTCAAATATCAGAAGGGAAGGGCACAGGCTACACAGTCATGAACCTTTTCCTCTTAGCTTTCTTGACCATGCTATTTAATACAGTATTCTCCTCTCCTGCCAAACATTACCACCCTTCTCTTCAGCTCTATTTTGAATACTTTCTACACCTCTCTGAAAAAAATTACAAATGTCTTGATTATTTGTTTATTGGTCTACCTTCCCTCTAAAGATCAACAGAAGTAGAGCTTATTGTCAGATTGATTATTGCTCTATCTTCAGTGCCTGGAATTCCATAGAGCAGCACAAGGTACTTTATACATTACTTGCTGAATGCTGAATCTGCAACTCAGACTATTTTCATAGCCCTCAGCACTAATGACACAGGATAACCTTAAGCATACTTAATTTCATTTTCTACTTCATGGCAACATTTATCCCCTGAGCAAAACACCGAAAGAAATGGTGATTCTCTTTGTTCAAAGTGTGTTCCAATATAATTACAATGCTCAAACTTTCATCTTAATAAGTATGCATCCATGTGCTACTGCTAGTTACACAGTAACAAGTACTTTGGACTATTTTCTAAAACCTCCAGCTGTTGTGTTAATATATAATTTCTCTAACCATAAATTGTTATACGTGAAACCTAGTTATACAGAAAAGCTCTTGATTTTCCAAAGGGCTTTTCTTCGGATGTAAAGGAGTAATAATAAGCAACTGCAAGAATCTTAAGTGCTATCAATGTTTCAGCTTCCTTTATAAGTTAAAGCAACGCAAACTTCAAAGCAGGAAGCTGCCCATGCATTTAGAAGAATACATCCTAAATTCAAAACCAAACATATGTTATACAGAAGAGAGTGAAAAAGTCTGCAAGAAAGGTAGCAAGTGAAGACCTTTGGCTCATTAGCAAATACAAGTGTTTAAAAGTATCTACCTTGGGCTGTAAAACAAAGAAGTAGCCAATGCCTTTGGCTTGACAGATGAGCTTGCACCTGTCCTTTGGTGAGACGCCAGCATACTTGGGTGTCCATTCCACCTTGGGCTCATTCCCAAAAGAAGCTTTTGAAAACTCATTGTGTGCTTCACATTGCTCCTCTCTAAAGGTTTTTCCTGAAAAGAGAAGGACATGATGATGTTACTGGTTTTCAACTTTCAGCCACCTGCTGTGGGCTTGTCTTATGCCCCATTTCTGAATGCTGAGGCGTAGTGTTACTCACCATTATTATCTGGGCAGTCCTTAGTGTTGCAAGACATATAGCGCACTCGTCTCCCTTCACAGTACTTCCCTCCATTCTTTGGGACTGGGTTGTCACATTCTCTCATTGTATACTGCACACCTCCACCGCAGGTTCTTGAACACTCTCCCCAGGGTCCCCATGTCCCCCAGCTTCCATGAACAGGGGTCTAAGTAGGGATACAAACATCACTGTTAGAATTTGCTTAAGAGACCTTTTAGGGAATCAAAGAGAGAAATATGAAACAGAGACTCATTCTCTTGTACTCCCACTAGGGGACACAGACAAATGTGTGTCTGAGTAAGAACTTTTAAGGATCACTTTGTTCTTTCCAATTCTGAATTCTGAATTCTGATGGGGCAAAATATGTCTCAGAAAAACTCACATCAAAATGCTTCATGTTGGTCTTGTTCACACATGTGCCGCTGACACACCATTTTCCTTCTCCACAGCTAGTGCCGTCTGCCCAAGGGAAATGTTTCGTTTGGCACACCAGCATGCCACCCGAGTTACCAGTGCACCACAATGTGCTGCATGTGCTGCTTGCATCAGGGCAGTGTTTGGATTCTTCTCCAAATGTGAACTGGCACTGACGGTTGACATCGTACAAAGTACCAGGGAGATGGGATGGGAGCTTGATGGGATTCTGCGGCTTGTCCATCAAACATTCCCCTACAAAGAACATGCCAAACTGTATTAACACAATTCTGAAAACATGCAAGGTGCACTGATCATGCAGATATTTACCACATGAGATAATATATAGTCATTTGCCAATAGCATTTTGGGAAAAAAATGCCAGAGAGATTTAGAATTTATTAATATAGTATCCTCAACACGATATTTCTGGATTAACCATGTCAAGGAGTTACTGTTCTATTTAAAATATGAATAAATGGATGTAGGGAGCTACTCAGCTAGAAGCACTATCTTTCACTGGGAAGGAAGAGTTGAAACTTATGATCATGACAGTAAAAAGTAATTTTGAAGGAGGGAAAACAGAGCTGGGTACGGTGGTGCAAGCTTTTAATCCCAGCACTCAGAAGGAAGAGACAAGCCAATCTCTATGGGATCAAGGCCAGCTTGGTCTACATATTGAGTCCCAGACCTGTTGGGGCTACAGGGAGACCCTGTCTCAAAAGAAAAAAGAGGGAAAAATCAAATTGATCAAAAATCAAATTGCCCTTTTAAATAGAATCATATATACAAAAGGCTGAATACTATCTACAATGAGTAGCTCTGGCACCTTACCGTGGCCGTTATCCAGGAACGATGTGACCATGTAGGCACTGCACAAAGACCATGGTTGGCTGTGGTTCAAACTGGAAATCATGGGGGCCATCAGGTGGGAATTCTCATTCACAATATTAAGGCTGGCACAGTGCTTTGCATCATCATGTGGCATGTTAAACACGTGGCCTGGGAAGCAACCAAAGCCCACATTAAAACACAGGTCACATACAGCTCTGACTTTTCCCAGCAGGGACACATTTTGTCCCAAAGGATATGCCTACAGAAGGAAATATATTTGAGACAATTTGTTTTGGTGACAATGTCTTATTTTTCACAGAGTATAAACAAACATGTCAAATTTTAAACATCCATAGTCTTACTTTAGTTCTTATTCTGCTAAGACTGTATTTCACATGGTGGAAAACATCTCCTATGATTTTTAATGTGCCCTAGTACCTAAAATTGCAATAGAATCTGCAATATTATCTTCCTCTCAAATTTAAATATTGCAGTAGGCTTAACTTGTACCCTGAACCCACTTACCTAACTCATGGGCTGTGGTAAAGGCAGCTTGTAAACCATCATCTTCTATGACTGAGCAGCTTCTGCTGGGGTCACACACTGTTCCAACATCAGCCATCCCAAGAGTATCACATGTACGGGCACCACATAGATCCTACAAAGAACCAAGGTAAATCCTTACTAATAAAGACATTATGAAATTGAGACATTTCAGATGGTTATGTCTGCACATGTGTTTTGGAGCATATACATTCACTATTGTTGTGCTCAAAAGACAATCTGCAGCTTTAATCAATACGGTCCCTAACACACTGAAAATAGAAATGCACAGCTTGAGATATTGAAATTATAGTAGAAATGAGTACAATAAGCCAAGCTAGCTAATTTTAAAAAAGGTGAAAAAGCACTGATGAGATGCCTTTTATCCATCTGTGTGGTACAAGGCTGACTTCTACTTCCACTGGGACACAATGAAAATTGTTGCCATCTTGATCTCACCTGTCTGGTGAAGAGGATTGCTGTGTCGTAGTGTTCTGCATCTCGGTCACTGGGAGGGTTGTGCTGCTTCTGCCATTTGCAGAAGTTCTGCAGGGTGAGAGCAGCATTAGAGGTCACTTCCGGCCCCTTCTGCTCCTCATAAATGACCATAATCTTCACCACCAACAGGCTAATTGAATTCCGAATACTGGGGTGTTTGTAAAACCTGGCTGCCACAGAGAACAGGGTCAGAAGGTAATGCTTTAGACCACTGCCATGGAACTCAGCCATGGACTGGTCAGCCACAAGCATGGCTTCCACATAGCGAGGGCTGGACACAAATCGCTTCTTTCTTATGCTTCCAGGTCCTGTACAGAGAAAAGAAAGACAGTTTGCTCATGGGCAGTCGCTCCAAGAATAGCGACCTTGCTAGAGTATATAAAGAAAGTTAGGCAATCAAAGCAAATAAAACTGAAACATACTGGGAACAACTATAACACATCTACTTGCATCTCTTTTTACTGGAAATGTTACTTTTTAAAGTTTTCCGTTTGTTTTAAACAAAACAAAGAGAAACAAACAAAAAATACCCCCACTAACTCTGCTGTGCCTGTGTCAGCAGGATTTCTTTTGTTGCCTTTGAAAATCTACACTGTAAGCAAGGCAGTGTGCATATCCTCCTACCCAGCTGTAGTAAAAACTTGGAGCAAAAGCACCAGGCAGTGTGCCCTGAGTCACTCTTCCACTCTAGAAGCCAGGGCTCAAATCCTGAATGAGATCATCCGACAACACGTGGAAGGCTTAGGGCAGGGCTGGGGCCTTGGCCAAGGGGCGGGGCTTGAAGGAATCTCAGCCTTCTTGGCTCAGCTCTTTCATTCCAGGGGTCCCTGGGGGCGCTCTGCTCTCGCCAATTCCGGGCACTAGGACCACCCACTCTGCCCAGCGGTCTATTCCCCCTCGTTCCCACTGCCTCAGGGAAATAAGTTCCCGTTTCGAGTCAAGTCTGACTTTTTTGGAAAAGAGCCCTTCTTCAGACTACTGACTGACATTCAAGCCCTGGGAAGTCCACCCCACTAGCGCCATCTGCTATCAGGAGCAGAAAATCAAGGGCAAGGGGTGGAGTAAGGGGAATCTAAAACGAGACACTTGAGGAGAAACAAGAGAAAAGGTACGAAAGTGATCAAATGAACTGGATGGTAAGTACTGCACATAGAAGAGGCAAGGGAAGGCGGAGCAGTAATAATCTGCAGCGGCTCCAGAGCAGAAGGAAGGCCGCGAGAGGGAGTGCAAACCCGGAGGCCCTGCTCCGAGGCGCAAGGAGGTGGGACAAGCTGGGAAGAGACCTCCCAAGCAGGTTGGGCAGAGGGGCCCCTCCGCCTTCCAGAGTCAGTCTTTTAAGAGGGGGCCGAGGACTAAAGGCCACAGAATAGAGATCGCAGCACAGGTGCCCAGGGTCGCGGACACATTTCGAGGTCACTATCGCGCCTCTACTTCACCCATCTCCGCCCTCCGGTGAGGGCTGTGCGCACGCAAGCAGTCAGAGGTTACAAAACTCAGCGCGAAGCTACAACCCAGCCCAAGTGAACTCATAAACTCATCAGAAAGGATTGAAGGATAGAAATAAGTCTTACAAGCTTACATTTAACTAAAGAGTAACAAACTTCCCAGGGGAAGCACTTCGCCTTAGTCTGCAAGAAGTGTGCTTTGCTTCTCCCTTAGATATTCGGGCAAATACATTCAATGTTCTAGCAGGATTTGATCAACTGATTTTGCGGATCACTATCCCAAGCCTCAAACTTCTTTTCTCTACTGCAGATCTCCGTCCACTGCACAGAGCAGGGCAGGGGTGGATGGAACTTTTACCTGTTGGCTGTCCAGGACGTTGCTGTATGGAATCCCGGGGCGGCCAATGACGCCGGGCGTCCTGGGTCTCAGGTTTGGAGTCGCTGGAGGGTAAGGTATCATCGTCCACGACTCCGCATTTGGCACCGGCGCTGCCCCGCCGCCTCCGCCTTAGGAGATGGAACTGTGGCCGAACCGGTGGCTCCTCCCCGGGGGCTACAGGGGCCAGGTGCTTGGTGGCGGCGGCAGGAGCCGGCTGGATGAAGAACTCCTCGCCCTGCAGGTAGAAGGCGCCGCGCACGCCTTGGCAGAGGCTGAGGGCTGCAGCGGAGCTGGGGTCACCATTCACTGTGCCCGAGTAGAAGCAGTGCGCCAGGTCCCCGGCTGGGTCTAGAGGCTGCGCCTCGGGCCTGGGACTGCGCCCCACCGTCTGGAGCGTGAAACCAGGCGCCAAGAAACCGCTGTCCGGCTGCAGCTTCAGGTGCAACCTCTGGCCGAAGGCATCCAGGTGGAGGCGCGCGGTGGTCTGGGGCCCTGGGGTGCGCTCCAGGGAAGGCAGCACGAGCTCCTCATCCTCTTCCGCGGGGCGTCCGTGCGCACCCCGCACGCACAGCAGCACTGCGGGCGCAGCCAGCACCAGCAGCAGCATGGGCGAAGGCGGAGAGCTCCAAGCCCGTGTTGCTCGCTGGGCGCCCCGCATGCCGCAGCGAGGCCTGTGGGTGCGTGATCCCGAAAGGACTGTGGGCTGCATTGGAGTTCCGAGAGACTGCGCGCCACAGCGCACCTGGCTTTTGTTCGCTTAGAAGCGCGGAGCTCCGCTGGCAGTGCTCCAGATCAAGTTCACGCTCACTTATTCTTTGAAAGTGCGCGCAGAGCCAGCAAACCGCTGGTCACCTAGAAGGAGGCGCTGCGGGTTTGCAGGCGGGCGGGCACTTTTTCTTCCAGCACTGAGTTGGAAGCACCGCACGGCTGGAGATGCCAAGCGGTTGCTGCGGGATCAAGAAGCGCTCCGGGGCTGGGGGACAAGTCCAGGATCGGCCCCTGGACACTTCGTCCTCCGCCGTTGCCGCGGCGTGGCTCGCTCTGAGCTGGGCTCTGCCCTCTCCGCTCGGCTGTGCGCTCTGGCCTTGCGATAGCACCTGGCTCGGAGTCGCTATCCAGCGAGTGCAAGAATCGGGCAGCCCGGGCCGTCCCTTTATAGCCCCGAAAGAGCCCCTCCTCCACCTTGGCCTGCTTTCCATCCCTGCGACGCCGCCCCCTGAGCTCAATCGGTGCTCTACCACGCTCAGCGCCGCAGGCCCTGGAGGGGGAGGGGGCAGCCTCCGCGCTGGCCAGAAGCCACCGCTCGTCACTCTGGGGGCGTAGAACTCCGAAACTGCGCGGTGAACAGTGTTTGGTACTGCGCGGGCTGTTCTGGGGAGAGAGCTGACCCTTCTACTCGTCTCTCCCCCTATGGATTTCCCGAACCACCTTGACTTCCCGTCGCCCCTTGGGTTCCCGGTGGAGGGGGAGGGGGCAGCCTCCGCGCTGGCCAGAAGCCACCGCTCGTCACTCTGGGGGCGTAGAACTCCGAAACTGCGCGGTGAACAGTGTTTGGTACTGCGCGGGCTGTTCTGGGGAGAGAGCTGACCCTTCTACTCGTCTCTCCCCCTATGGATTTCCCGAACCACCTTGACTTCCCGTCGCCCCTTGGGTTCCCGGTGGGCTGTAATTTCCAAAACCCAGCCTGTGGGGGCGGGG